GGGGGGGGGGGGGGGTATAAAATTTTTGCGGCACGAATTTTTTTTTCAGTTCATGTCTCTGCAGGATTTTTTTTTAATGCATTTAATTAACCTCTGCACGAATTTTTTTTCATGACTATTTATACTTTGCTGTTTGATTGCACGAATTTTTTTTCTCTGATGTAATGGCCAGACATTTTTCTTTAATTGCACGAATGTTTTTTGGGGAATTTACATCCCCCCCCTGGGATTTCTCATGGTCCGCCCCTAAATATGGATAAACAAGATGATGAATTTGCAGGGCGTAACTCCTGGGGTGCGTGTGTGGGGGAGGGAGGTACGACATCCCCCTACCCAATGTCGTAATATTGCAGTTTTGTCGGGCAATTTTTGCAGTTTTAACGACACGCTCGTCGGGCAAAAAATATGTAATTCAGCGGAAATTTTACATGATTTTTTGAAAAGTAATAATTGTAGGAAATAGATTAACGAATATATCACTGAAATACCGTACAAATTTCGGTAAGTTAGTGAAAAATTATATGTCCGAAAATTTTTTTCTCCCCTCCCTCGCTCGCCAACAATTTTGGTAAAAGAAATATTAATTAGCGCCTGAAATGTCCGTCAGGCACGACTTTCGCCACGCCCTTTTGGTTGGGCAAAACAAGCTCATACCCCCAGCCTTAATACCCAAGTTACGACCCTGTGAATTTGTATGGCTAATTTTCTAGTATAGTTTACTGTATAACAATAACAGCTCTCGTATAGTTTACTGTATAATAATCACAGCTCTCTTGTTCGAACGAGAGCTGTGATGGCTAAAGCAAGCATTTTTGCTTAATTTCTATATTATTTGTATATATAAGATTACGTATTATTAAAATACAAATTAAGTAGAAATTAAATCAGGTAGATTTATAAATACGATGATGAATTTATTTTTCAGCCTGCCCGGTGTGGATATACATTTAGAGTAACATCGAAACATTATATTCACCTGAGTACATATTACATAACATCAAAACCATCACAAAAAACAATTTCTCTCGATTATATACATATCGAGTTTCAAGAGGGTTCTATATTCGGAGTTTGTTTATTGCTTTATTCACGAATTAATCAGCAAGAAGTACATCAGCAAGTAAATACATCAGCATGAACCTGATGTATTGAAATAAATCACTAGGCAAAAACAAATAAACCAGACAAAAAGTTACGGGTATACGTAGTACGTACACGTACGAGCACATGCTTACATTTTCCTCATGTTAGCCAAATATGGTAACAAAGGTTACGACCTCAAATCACAAGACTGCTTTCGCAATTGTATTCCTTCTAGGACCATCAGTTCTCGGTATTTAAAAAAATGGTGTGATTTGTAGCAAACCTGTATTGCTGTTTTCAACTACAGGCTTCTTAAATTTTGTCTTTAATTAAAAGAAAGAGGAAGTTTTGTCTAAATATGTGAAGGAGATTCTTCTGGTGTGTGTCATAAAGAATATGGCTGAGGGTTACGACACAAATCGCTTTCACTCCACAATTGACGAGGGCTTTATATGCTCAATCTGTCTTGGTGTTTTACAAGAACCGATGCAATGTGAGAACAATGAACATTATTTCTGTTCTGGTTGTATCAAAAAGCATCTGGAGAAGACCTCGCACAGTTGTCCTGTCTGTCAAGATAAACTGTCTGTAGAGACGCTGCGTAAAGCACCAAGAATTGTTGCAGATTGCGTTTCACATTATAAGATAAGTTGTGATCATGCAACAAGAGGCTGTGACGCAGTTCTAGAGCTTGGAGCTCTACAAGCGCACGTTCAGAAATGTGATTTCATGCCTGTCTCTTGTTCGAACGAGAACTGTGATGAAGTGGTCAGTAAACGGGATGTAAAGCAACATGAGATTGAGTTATGTCGCGTCAAGACAACAACCTGTGACGACTGTGGCAAAAAGATGCTTCATCATAAATATGGCGCTCATGGCTGTGTGTTACGACGTGATTTAAATGAAGTGAAGAAAGATGTTGCAGAAGTGAAAGCCACGCAACATGAGATGATGAATGAAATGAGAGAAGGCATGCAACGAATCACGATTGCGATTGGAAAGCTTGAAAAGTCGTCTCGAACTGTTGCCAACGTGGTTAGCCCCATGAATAGTGGTGTGGTTGTAATTGGGGGTGCAAATCCCGAGAGGGACGAGAGGGACGAGTGGGACGAAAGGGACGAGAGGAACGAGAGGGACGAGTGGGACGAGAGGGACGAAAGGGACGAGAGGGACGAGATGGACGAGAGGGACGAGAGGGACGAGAGGGACGAGAGGGAGAGGGACGAGAGGTACGAGA